TTACCACGTGGTACTGTACAGTAAAAAATGGCCGATAAGAAGCATTTTCCTTTGAAGTGGTTTTCGCTACTTTAAAGTTTTTTTCCACTTTACGGTTGTTTTGGTTAGTACCTTAAACGTTCCAAATACTAAAATAATAACTTTTAAGTTATTAACTTTTTAGTTTTTAACTCATGTTCCAGTTTCGAGATTTTAACTTGCAAAGGGACTACAAAGTAAAAATAATTATAATGTAATCTTTAGGTAGCAACCGAAAGTAACTGCTACAAATTAAATTTACTTGAAAGTTTTTATTACTTAAAACACCTTTTTTAAAGGTGCAAAGTCTTCTTGGGGGCAACCAAGTTTTACTTAAATGTTTATTACTTTATAGTAACCATTTAAGGAAAAATTAAGTTTCTGTTACAAAATATTGCTATTTAAAAGTTAGAATTACTTGTAAGTAAAAATTAAAGTAGCTGTTTAGAATACTTAACTAATTTAAAGTTATTACCACTTTGCCAATGGTTTTTGGAACCAAAAATGCTGCTTGGGCAGCGAAATTCATGAACACTCTACAAGAACTTCAACAAATTTGCGTACCCAATTCTGCAGAATAAGAAGGTGTCAAACCGTTATAAATTTTTTTGGTGTTAAATTTTTTAATGTTCTACCATGTGACATAAGGAACATGGAATTGGACTCATTTAAAAAACATTTTAAAATCTTTTTATTAAAAAAGGCCTTCTTTTCTTTTGAGGATTATATCTTAAGTGATGATTTTAATCAAATTATATAATGTTTTTTTATTTATTTATTTATTTATATTTAGTGTATTTCATAAATATTTTTTATTCATTGTATTTTATATATTTTTTTGACGTGTGTATATTAGGGTGATTCATTTCCGCAAAGTTTCTGTTTTTTTCGGTGCTCAAGCAAAATATTAATCTGCATATAGGAGCTCTTAATATTAATTTTAAGCACTTACTATTTAAATTTAAAGTTTTACCGTTTAAAATGCATGTAAAAAATATATTTTTTTTTCAAATTTCTAATGCTTACCCACCTTTGACAATATTGCAAATCGGTTTAATACACCTTATGGGGAATTTCACGCTCTTTAAAATTGCTTTTGAGTTTTTTTTGTAACTCGCATTGGTTCACCAGTAGGAGTCGTCAAAGGACAGTTTTTGAAAAAAATCGTTTTTTTTATTTTTTTGAGCAAATCGCCAAAAGTAGTGAGAAAAAAGGCTGATTCATAAAAAAAAAGTTATCCAACCAATATTTAATGAATTTACTGCCATTTTTATAACTGAAAACGTAAGAAATTGATAAATACCAACCCTTAATGTTATTTAGATTGATTTTTTCTATTTATTATCATTATATTTCCCTACACTAAGAACTTTTTTAAAATTATTATGATTTCTCACTCATAATGAATATGAAAACAACACATAAATTATAAAAAAAAACAACAAAACTTTAATCGGAATATACATAACCTTCTGTAACAGAAGGTTATGTAACATATTTCAAATTTCGCTTCAAAAAAATTAAATAATCTTCATTTATAATTTTTTGCTATATGACAGAAATGTTGAAAAATTGCAAAATCCACGTTACAATTTTTTTATTGTTTTTTTATGAATTTACCTGTTGTTTTCATATTCATTATAAGTGAGAAATCAATAATTTTAAAAAACTTCTTAGTGTAGGGAAATATAATGATAATAAATAGAAAAAATCAATCTAAATAACATTATGAGTTGGTAATTTTCAATTTCATACGTTTTCAGTTATAAAAATGGCTGTACCTAAATTCATTAAATATTGGTTGGATAACTTTTTTTTATGATTCAGCCCTTTTTTCTCCCTACTTTTTGCGGTTTGTTGGAAAAAAATTAAAAAAAACCGATTTTTTTCAAAAACTGGCCTTTGACGACTCCTACTGGTGAACCAATGCGAGTTACAAAAAAAAACTCAAAAGCAATTTTAAAGAGCGTGAAATTCCCCATAAGGTGTATTAAACCGATTTGCAATATTTTCAAAGGTGGGTAAGCATTAGAAATTTGAAAAAAAAAATATATTTTTTACATGCATTTTAAACGGTAAAACTTTAAATTTAAATAGTAAGCAGGGACCCGGACCGAAATGAAATATCGGTTCCGGTACGGTTTTGGTTCACCCTATTTTCGTTTTAATGGTTCCGATTCCGGTTTCGGTTTCGTGGAGTTATAACGGTTCGGTTCTTTTCGGTTTTAAGCGGTTCCAGTGAGGTTATTTGTTTACGTAATTTTAATCTATAACCTCACATATGTTATATAATGTTATTAGAATGAAAGCAAATAAAGGTTTCGGTTCCGGTCCTACAGATTTTAACAAAAGCGAAAACGGTTCCGGTTCGGGTTTCGGTTCGGAAAAAAAACCGGTTCCTTTCCGGTTTTCGGTTTTTTTCGGTTTCGGTCCGGGTCCCTGATAGTAAGTACTTAAAATTTATATTAAGAGCTCAAAATTGTTGAGAAATTTTTTTTCTATATGCAGATTAATATTTTGCTTGAGCACCGAAGAAAACAAAAACTTTGCGGAAATGAATCACCCTAGTGTTACACTAGTGTTACACTAGTAGTGTATATACTATGTATTTTAACACTAATAAATCTTAATCTAAATCTAAATCAATGTTTTTGTTGGATTTTATCTAAAACAGCATTTCCATATATATATATATATATATATATATATATATATATATATATATATATATATATATATATATATATATATATATATATAAAACACGACGTTCGCACCTTTTAGCTTCATTGACATACTCGACTTTTGTTTTAATTATGTTGAATTATTTCTTAAACAGCTTTTATGCTAATGCCAGTAAACTTTAACATTACGCTCTTACTTTTTAATTAAACTTAATATGCTAAGAAACAGTACGGATCACAAACCCTTGGGGTTCTAAATGGACAGTAATGCATAAATTATGAACTGTATAAACCTGAAAAGTTAAAAGTTTAAAATGTTAAACTCGCTAGAAAACAATATTAGAAAACTTAACCTTAAACCCAAAACACTTCTGTCAATATTACCATCAAATAAATCATTTTCAACTATGGTGCATTTAGGGAATTTTTTTAAAAGGAACTCAAAACTTTTTTGTACTTGTTCCCATGTCGGAGCTTTTTTACTACCTACTGTACTCGCTTAAATATTCTAAACAATCAGAGTAAAAGTTAATAGTCTGAATTTATTGAAAGCGGGACAAAAGCGGGACACTTATTAAATCGGGACCCTTAGCTCAGAATCGGGACCGTCCCGCCTAAATCGGGACGGATGGTCACTTTAATATTCTAGCCGCTTGAAAAAAAAAAGTATTTTTTAGTACCTTGCGGGGCTACGTATTTATTTTTTTTAAGTTGGTAATGCCACCGCAAAACTTAAAATAAACTAGGTATTAAACAACTTTTATTAAAATCATTTTTTAATATTTTTGATATTTCGAAAGTTACACTCAATATTCCACACTTTTGAGCCACCCTGTATAAAAAAGTATGTATTTCTACTCTTTTTCGATTTCCGATCAATTTAAATGAAGAGACCAAAACGAAATGAAATTCAACCGATATGTAAGGAATGTCTGCTATTGAAATTCCCCAACATGGACATTTTGAATCAAAATTAATTTGTTCCTCTTCTCTTTAAATCGGAAAAATATCAGGTGAAATCAAAGCATTAAATCATTGATTTACATTATTAAATTACCTTAGTTGGAAAAACTACTACAATTTGAAATTGTCATTTCCACAAAAATAACTAAAGTTTTTCATACAACTTTAACTTCAAATATAGGTATACTAAAAATTTTAGTCTAAAATACATAAAATAAGACTCACCATATCAAAAAACCTCGTAAAAACTACTAAAAACACTTTAAACTCACCAATTACACTCTAATTACCCTACAAAATCCTATTAAAAGACCCGAAAACACATTTTTAAACACACGGAGGCGCCATCTAAAAACAATAACAAATCGGAGTCATGCGCACAACGCAAACGCGCCAGTCATAATTAAATTATTTTATATTTATATATTAATTATAATAATTTTATATTTATATATATTAATTATAATAATTATTATTGTTATTGACTGTTTGAAATCAATTTAATTAATTATATATGCAAATGTCAAATAACGTGTTATTTTACAGGGTTGCCACCTTATCATTAGTGTTAAATCATAAATAAATAAAAAAAACTCTTTTAATGCATAATTTAGTTAAATTTAAAAACCACCGTTTATTTATACGTAATTATTCGCACGCAACGAAATTGGTACATGTTTTAATAATGAAATTTATGTTTTATTATTAATCCCATTTACATTTCGTTCAAATAATAATTTAAATGACAAGCTTTTTGTGTTTTAAATTTGCATTTAGTTTGCACTTCAATTATTTTAACAAACCCCGAATAATTTAACAACAAAATATAATTTTAGACTAAAGTTATTGTAAAATGAAACCATCCAGTTTGGGTTGGAAATTAGATGTACGAACATAAACCCAATTATTAAAGCTATTTGAGGACCCTAAACAATTTAATTTTGTGGAGAAAATGAAACTTTAGACTATGTAGACATTTTGCATTATATTTACATATTAACATAGTTTAAAGTATTAGATGGAGTAAATAATTATAATTATTATTAGAGAATTTGTATGTATAAGTTATGCAACAATATGCATGGTTAAGTAATTTGGGTTGCATAGTTTTGCAGAGAAATTTGTATTCAAACTTCATACTATTACATGGTATTAATTAATACATTACTGTTAATTTGTTCTTATTTTTAATTTAATTGTTGATTTTATAATGATTTAAAAATACAAAATATTTAAATAAAAATTATATAATATTACTTTATCAGCACTCACAGATGGCGCTGAATAACTTTTCTTTAAATTGTCGGATTTATTTATTTATTTGCGATTGTCAGTATGACAATTTAAATATTAAAAATGTCAAACTATGAAGACAATTACTCAAATATTTACTGTCTAAGGTTAATATTACGTTCTTTATTGTAAATTAAAAAATTATAAGGCTTTTTTATTTAGATTTGAGTTTGGAATACCGCTGGAAGATTTGTTTCCTTGTGATGATGTCCATTTTAAATTAAAGGTAGGTCATAACCTATAAAAATAATATTGTTTATTAGATAAACTAAATAATTGTGTGTTTTATCATACTAACAAATACCTACCGTTATTTGAATTAACGATTTTCGTTGATTGAGATATTACTATAGGGTTAAAGTTGCGGTACCTACCTACTTATTTACCCTGTATAATACGATTTGTTTTAGACTTTATTATCTGAATGTGTAGAGGCCAAAGAGAAATCTGAATTAAAAGTGGAAAGTATTTTAAGGTATTTATTTTTTAGTTAATACAGTTTCTTAATAAAACTAACACTAACTAACACTATAATGTTAGTTATAGGAGAAAGGTTCTTGTTACCGTAAACACGGGTGGCTTTGCACCCCGCGGGTGACTTTAACCTTCTTTGGAAAAAATTTTTCGCGCTCGATAAAATTAACATTTATAATTTGTTGGTCTAAACCTGTTAATTAAGCGATTCAATTGAGTTTATAAGTATTACAGGAAAATCAGTGTTTTAAAGAAATAAATGGGATTTATTACACTTTAATAGTATATTATGTATCAAGTTTAATAAACGCCATTTTATACACGAATTTAATTTAGGCACGAGCGAGCTTGCGAGCGAGTTCTTAAATTAATAAGTGTATAGAAAAGTTTATAAACGAGGTGCATACCTACTATACTTTTTCTACGACAAATACTTATTATCTTAAAATGATTTAAATCAAAAATTTGTATAGAGCGCCATCTATGAAACAATAAGGGAATCTGTGTGTCACCGTCAAATACAAATTTTTTTATTTAATAAACACAGATTATAAAGGTTATAAATCGAAATGTATTTCTTGAAAATTGACAGTTTTTCACAGTGAAAGTAAAGAAAATGTTTTATGAGCACTTTACAGTTGAGTCCGTGGCCGAATTTAAGTTATAGTTTACTGCCGGCAAAATGAAAAGGTCAGTACAATGTTCATATAAACTTTTCAAATATTGGCGTTGAGAAACTATTTAATACTTTTGTATTTTTGTATTGAGATAATAAAATAATTTTCACATTTAGTATAATTTTACAAGAAAGGCACTTTATTTTAACGATTGTAGGACATTTGACAACAGTTACTGCCAACTAACTTAAAACTTGTTGCTAACTTCAGCCCGTGACTAAAACGCCATAAAGCCACAACTTGTCAATGTGTATTTAAAAGGTCACTTAATGTCATGGAAACATGTACAATAATGGTCGTTTTAAAGGTGGGAGTAGAAAAAATTGTTTATATTTAAAAATACACGCGTTCAAATTTCTATATTAGAGGCATTCCTTTGGAATGATGATCCTTGGTTAACTACAGGTCGATTTTTTATTTTTTTTTATCGGTAATCCCGTGCAATCGCTACATGTCGCTAATAACATGTGTCTAATAAAAATAAAATAAAATATTGAGTTAATTTTATACGGAAAATACACTGTGAGACAAAGTTACCCGCAACCAGGGGGTACACATATTTATTATGAAAGAGCAACTCAAATTTTGGTATACAATATTTAATGTTTATGATTGTTAAAACCAAACAAATTTTAAGCTTAAGTTTGAAAGTGAGCTAAAGCCACCCGTGTTTACGGTATACGTATACCGTAAACACGGTACCGTATACGCGTTTTACGAAAAAATGCATTATTCATAAAAACTCCTGCTTGTTTAAAAAATTAAATAGATTCCCATAAAAAAATTAGAATTGTTGACTTTCTCCTACAAAATTTTCTATAATTTTTTTTGCGTAAACGCATAGTAAAAATGTTTTCCTATTGGCCACTCGATCCATGGACAAACTATACATGGGGCAAAACATGCCAAGTGTTCCCACTAAAAACTTAAGTTGTTTCCGATTTTGATGAAACTTTGCTAAATCATTGTCCTATCGGATTACTTTAATTATGCAAAAGGGCAGCGGAAAAGACTGACGGGTTGCAGATATACAGGGCCTTGAAATTTTTATTTTTCTTTTGTGAGAGTTTTTTAGTTGATAAATCGACAAATAATATATCCTATAACTTTTTTTTCGTGCTTTAAGATAGAGGTGGTTTCAAAAGCGAAACAAAATTTTTTGGTTAAGAAAAATTGATATAAAAAATATTTTTTCTTTCTTCTTAAAATGGGACCATTTTGATTTTTTTAAAATAAGTACTAAAAAAAGCCTATTCTTTTCCCTAAATTTTGATATATACAGGGTGTTTCAGAATAAGATGCTGAACCTTAAGGGTGTGAATCCTTAGTTGGTTTTAAGAAAAAAAGTTCAAATAAACCTATGACCTAAACCTCTTAATTTTTGAGTTACAGGGTGTTAAAGTTTTAAGACAAAAATCGTTTTTTTATCATAACTTTAATAACTTCCTAGATATTTTAATAAAATTTGGCATACGCCTTCTAAGCATTAACAGTAAGTTTTTGATGTAGAAGATTTTTTTTTTTTACCAGTGGCGTCCGTACAGGATGTGCTCTAGATATTTTTGGAAAAATATTATGCACGCCACTGCTATTTTTCAAAATAAAAATTATTTTTTAAATCCCCATTCATTTTAGGGCAAATTTGATTTCTTGACCATTTTTCGTACGACTAACGGTTTTCGATGAAAAAAATAAAAAGCATTTACCTAATTTAATTTAATTTAAACAGTATAGATTTTTTCCTGCCTTGCCTAGTCAAATTAAAAATTAATAAAATTCACAAATTATTTAAACAGTATAGATTTTTTCCTGCCTTGCCTAGTCAAATTAAAAATTAATAAAATTCACACATTATTTATCATACTTTAAATATTATTAAATTACGCGAATACGTATGTTATGGTATTTAGTAATTATTAGTTTAATAAAATAAATAAGAATAGCAAGATTATGTTGGCCCCACCATTTAGGGGCCCCACCAATGCAATATGTAGCTTTTTAATGAATCGAATATAAAAAAAATTGTCAAAAAGATAAAAAATTGGGTCGGTTATACCGCGCGAATCCTGTAATTTTAAATTAATTTTTCGTAGATCTAACTCTAATTTTCGCGGATTTTTTATCGCTTATCCGCTTGCAAATCAGAATGTAAATTATCAGACTCAAAGTTTTGGCGCGCGAAGACGTTTTTATATAGTCTATAGTTATAAGTTCCTCCTTTAGTGCTTGTCGTAACGTTTTTGTAAATACAGGCAAACAGTCAATTACTTATAACCTAATATTAAAGTTAGTTTTTGTCCCATATTTTTATTGGTACATTGGAGTGTTGTGGAATATTTTCCGGTGTTTCCGAAATACTGTTTCGTGCTTTTCTTTGGACAAAAGATTGTTTTATTGTTTGATTTTGTTTGAAAAACAGTCAAATAATACGAATTTTAATGCAGTTTTATTTATATTTTACTTGAGTAAAATGTATATATGGTTATGTTCGTATTTTTGAAAATATATAAAATATAAAGTATATAAAATCACTTTCATTCACAATAGAGTAATTGCATCAAAAATGAAAATCCCTAAAAACCTTTTTATTGTAATCTAGAGGTAAAAACACATTGCGAAAATATTTTTTTATATTCCAAAAGTTCAACCCGGGTCCAAAATATCAAATTGAAAAAAAGGTACTTTTCAAACGTTCCGAACTCCCGCCAAATTGCATGACGTCATAAGCTCCAACTGTCAGAAATCAAGATGTCAACAAATAATAAACACCGATAAAGTTTAACATGGAAAACGCGAAACCAAAAATTGGTTGTAAATATTGTTTTGTGCCTTGTATAAATACAACCTGGAAAACTCCTGGGAAAAGGTTTATCACCGTGCCAAAAGGGAAAATAAGGATAAAGTGGATTAAAATAGCTCGGCGCGATATCAAAACATCGTCACCGCAGTCAACATTTTATTGATCATTTTAAGGATCATTTTAATGTAAGTAAAATAAAATGTCGTTTACTAGGTATATGGTTTGAATAGGTATGTTAAATATTAATAAACCCAAGAAAATACGGCTGAGCCGTAACTACTCTCAGTGTAGGGTCATAAACTTTGCTTTTGATAATTGAAGGGACAACTTTCCCAGGAGTTTTCTAGGTTGTATTTGTACAACAAGGCACAAAACAATATTTACAACCAATTTTTGGTTTCGCCTTTTCCATGTTAAACATAAACTTTATCGGTGTTTATTATTTGTTGACATCTTGATTTCTGACAGTTGGAGCTTATGACGTCATGCAATTTGGCGGGAGTTCGGAACGTTTGAAAAGTACCTTTTTTTTAATTTGATATTTTGGGGCCGGGTTGAACTTTTGGAATATAAAAAAATATTTTTGCAATGTGTTTTTACCTCTAGATTACATTAAAAAGGTTTTTAGGGATTTTCATTTTTGATGCAATTACTCTATTCTATTCTACTATCTACGTTTTTATAGTTTTGCATACGAATTTATAATTTCTCACTTGTAAAATGTATATAAGGTTATGTTCGTAGTATTTAAAATATACAGGGTGATTCAGACTTGTGGTGACAAAGCTAAGGGGAAATTCCTTTCATCGAAATATTTATAGCTTAAAAATGCTTTGGCCAATTTTATTAAAATTTATATGGTTTATTAAATAATAAATGATTCAAAGATAATAAAAAATTACGTAAAGTTCCTCTAACTTAAAAATTTACCATGAGTTTTAGTGTCAAAAATTTTAGAAATATTGAGGGCCCCCACCAATTGTCGGCCCCAGGGCCTCAAAACTCTTAATCCGGCCCTGGGTGTCTTAAACTTTAAAAGTTTATGATTTTCTTACTTTAAAATTTAATTTTTTTTATATTATTTGTTGTCTATTTACCATAAATGGGGATAATTTATTAATTTGTATTGTATTTTATTATTTTATACATTAACAATAATCTTGTTCACACTTGTTTTATTTTATTAAACTAATAATTACTACATACCATAACATACGTATTCGCGTAATTTAATCCTATTTAAAGTATGATAAATAATGTGTGAATTGTATTAATTTTTAATTTGACCAGGCAAGGCAAGATTACTTAAATTTTAAGTTTACTTAAATTGTAGAATTTAGCATATTAGAGCAGCTAAATTTTTAAAACAGCGATTTAGTGCTCCAAAAGGAGAAGAAGCACCTACTGTACTAAAAAGTAAAATAGTTTGTGTTTAAATGTTTTAAGTTATAACTAAATTGTTTAAAGTTATTAATAAATTTTAAAATTTTAATTTTTAAATTATAGTATTATTTTGCGTAGGACATGCAAATATTCAAAATTGAATAGGTTATTAATTAGGTGTTTATTTTTCGTGTACAATTTACATTAACACTCAAATAATAAACTACCGATGTACCAATGATTGAAAAAAAATTGTGAGACCCTTTACCTATCAGTTATTGTGCGTTTTAACGCCGTTATTTTTGAACTGGTTTTGAGATCCCATTTAAATATATATATATATATATATATATATCAAAATTTAAGGAAAAGAATAGGCTTTTTTTAGTACTTATTTTTTTAAAATCAAAATGGTCCCATTTTGAGAAAAAAGGTAAAAATATTTTTCTCGATTTTTATGTAAGAATGTCATATTCTCGCACGCAAAATCGTTGAAGAATGAAGCTCATTCTTAAACGATTTTTGGTAACATTTAGTTTTTAAGTATTGGTACCCCCAAAATGTCAAACTGTTTAATAACCTCAAATTCATTACTTTTAGGATTATTTATAATAGCTTTGTTTGTTATCCTGCACTAGTGCAACCTGAACTACACTTTTATTGAAAATGAAGCCTTTTAATGCAAAATTTTAAGTTTAATGTGAAAAAGTGCAGTTCAGGTTGTACTTGTGCAGGATAACAAATATTGTCATTTTGTGTTGCCAACTGACATTTTGCGAGAAAAATCCCCCAACTAACAACGACCACAAAACAATTAAAAAACCTACATAAAAGTTAAAATCGAGAAAATAGTATAAATCACACGTTGCAGAAGGCTTTTCTCGCACTCATTCGTTCGTCCACTCGCTCCTTCGTCGCTCGAGGCCAAATTTCGAATTCGTGCGAGAATATGTGGCCTTCTGCAACTTGTACTTTAATATACTATTTTATATCAATTTTTCTAAGCCAAAAAAATTTGTTTCGCTTTTGAAACCACCTCTATCTTAAAGCACGAAAAAAAGATGTAGGATATATTATTTGTCGATTAAAAAAAAAGTCATTTATATTTTTTTATCAACCAAAAACCTCTCACAAAAGAAAAAGAAAAATTTCAAGCCCCTGTATATCTGCAACCCGTCAGTCTTTTCCGCTGCCCTTTTGCTTAATTAAAGTAGTCCGATAGGACAATGATTTAGCAAAGTTTCATCAAAATCGGAAACAATTTAAGTTTTTAGTGGGAACACTTGGCGTGTTTGAAAAAGTGTTTGTTCATTTGATTGTCTCTCAGGCAGTAACGGAGCAACGGACCGACGTGATTTTTTGCAAATGGGAGATTTAAACAAAAAACGTTGATTTTTATATTTTTATGTATTTAAAAAGTCTATTTCTATTTTTTTATAAGTATTTTTTTGTTTATTTAACACAATTTTTGTTAAAAATAATAGAAAAAAACAATTAAAATGAAAAAACTAGAAAGAAATTAATTGATTTGTTAAATTAAACGAACAAAAACAGTATTGCATTGTTTATGCACTAAATTTTCAATGACCGTGGTGCTTTAGTGAAAGTAAAACCGCTACACATTCACTTATTTTTGTTGACCACGAGACAAGCTCATAAATTATGCAAGTACAAACCTTGCCAATAATAATACAATGTAGGCTATGCCTATAGTAGCAAGATCTCAAAAATCTCCCTAAATGTTTTTAAAGATGCACAACTGTATGTAGAAATGTACTGGTTCATTTCTAATGGCCTCCTGGATCTCCAGACCTTAGGCCGTGCGATTTTTTTTGTAGGTTTTCTTAGACCAGAATAAGTTGGCTAGCCCTAGAATAAAGTTGCTTTATTAGGGATACCCTGTAGAAGACATATTTTTTCCAGGGACTCGCCTGTTATACTGAAGGAATGCTTTAAATTGAAATTCCTCCTTGAAAATGAACTACATATTCAGAGGAGATTTCAACCGATTACGTACTTTTGGATTATAAGACACTTTTTGGGAATTTTGCCACTTCCGATTTTTGTTAATTACGAAAAATGGAAAAGTATTGCATCAAACTGTCATCAAATTTTATCTTCGTTGAAGCCTTACGACCTCAAGAAACTTGATGGAAATATTGCAGAGTAAGTCATGCATACGAGGTGTGTTCAGAAAATAACGGGAATTGTTAAATTTCGCGGGTTCGGAGGGTCCGGTTGTCATAAAATTTTCTTTATTATGTTGGTATACATGCCCCCGAAGTATGATAAAAACTTTAGCTGTTTTCATTGTTTACTTTTTCTGTGGCAGCCGCTAAGGTTAGACGTGTTTTATGAGCTCGGCGATTTTCGTTCATTAAAAGAAATGGATCAAAGAATTTGTATCCAATTTTGTTTAAAAAATGAAATAAATTCTGTGAAATGTTAACAAAGGCATATAGTGAGTCTGCTATAAGTAAAACAAGAGTTTACAAGTGGCTCTTATACCAAGATGGCCGTGAAGACGTTGAAGATGACGAACGCCCCGAACGGACAAGCACATTAACAACCGATAAAAACATGGAAAAAGTGGAAGAAATGGTTATAAACCATCAGAGAAGTCGCTGAGGATGTTGGTATATGTATTGGCTCATCCCATGAAATTTTTCCGAATGTTTTGGGTATAAAACGCGTGGCAGCAAAATTTGTTCCAAAATTGTTAAATTTTGAACAAAATTTTTGGCCAAAAACAATACTGTAATGATGCCCCAGCATCCATATTCGCCAGACATGCCTCTGTCTGACTTTTTCCTATTCCCAAAGATAAAGAGAACCTTAAAGGGCCGTCGTTTTGCAAGGATAGATGACATTAGCCATACACAGACGTTATTGCGCGCGGTTTATCGTGTTATCTGCAAAAACATATGGAAAATCATGTACGTGAGTGAGTATCGCCGCGCGAAATGATAGAACGGGAAGGTATTTCAGACGTGCTTTTCTCTGGAGTGTGGCGTGTCCACACGCCACATTCCGCGTCACGGTTTACCTTTGCTTGGCAAAATTTCACGTTGAAAATTTGTACATGATCACATGCAGTTTCAAACGACTCGATAAATGACACTTTTTGCCCACTCACATACGATTTTTCCTTTGAAACTGATATACCACGGGCAATCACTTGCTAAATCATTTGAATACTTTATCAAGTGTATGGAACATGACGCTTTTTTGCCATGCCGTTCTTTCGTGCATACTAACCGCTACATCCCAACACGCCACGATAAACCGCGCGAAATAACGTCTGTGTATGGCCAGCTATTAAAAGCGCATCGCTAAAAGAAGTAAAGGCTATCCCAAAGATCGAGTTTTAGAAGTGTTTCGAGTATTGGAAGAAGAGCTGGCACATGTGCATAATATCCATTGGGGACTATTTTGAAGGCGACAACATTAATGTAGACGAATAAATAAATATTTGTTTCAAAAAACGAAAATTCCCGATTTTTTCTGAACACGTCTCGTATATGGGTGAATATTTTAAAACTGTCGATTTTCGGAACCATTTTCGTTAACACATAAAAAAATTGCAAATCTTATTAATTTTGCACTTTTAGGACTTTTCCACTCATGAACATGAACATGAAGACTAAAAACGTAATTTTGTTTTCCTTTTTAGAAAGTTTTACTTGGTCATCTCTTATTCTTCTGCGTCTTTTAGCTTCGTTGCTCAATTTGATTCGTGGTTTTGTCATTTTAATTAATTTCCCACTGAAATGAAATATTTTTAATTGGTTACATGTAAGGGACACGACAATGACGAGCACGGTAATGATGATTTTAAGGTTAAGAGTGTTTTACAATGTTTATTCGAAAATGTAATGGAATTTTCAAGTTATCAAATGTTGCTTTTTGTTAATGCAAGACACATTTGTATTATTGTAAATATTTTATACCCATAAACTTTGAAATAATACTTACCCCGACAATGACGGACTTAGACAACAACTTTATGGTTTGACATATGCTAGTGGACGTTAGACAGGCAGGATATTTCCATATCAGACGTTCGAAAACTTCCGGCATTTTCCGAATGTATCGCGTATTTAAATATGAAATTAGACACATTTTAAGTAGCCACGGCAATGACGCTCATAGGTGTGAACAAAGTTTAAACGGCATTAAAAGAAAAGTTAACATTGTATTATTTTGTATTTTCTTCGTCTGTGTTAGACAGGATATTGCAAGATTTAATTCTTCGAATGTGAAAAAGGCACGGTAATGACGATTAGACTAAAATAAGTGAGGAATCAAGTAAAAATAGTTAATTAAACTAGACATCAAGTATTTTATTTTCAGTGGGATACCAACTTTTGAAATAACAAGCGAGAGCCGATTGAATTACACTTTTGAAATATTCACCCATATATTATTTACAGTGCAGATTTGTCAAAAAACATACTGTTGCAGGTCCCTAAATCTGCTATCAGATGCCAATATTATGTTTCTTGATCTATTCAGAGAAGTATTCGCAAAACTTTGCGAAAACAGGTATAGAATAAGTAGAAGATCTGCTTACAGTGTTGCCAAATATTTTGGTCCTTGTATGTTTGTGCGTCCCTTTAGACCTGGATATGTCACCAAAGTAATTAGTTAGTATTTTGTTGTATTTATTGTAAAATATGCATTTTTGTAGGAAACCAAAGAGTTTTCCTCACTTTTATTTTATATGCTTATTAGGTGGAAGTTTATTAAGCGATGTTGCAGAAATTTAGATTTACTGTCTTTTAGAAGGGAAAAGTATGATGTTAAATACAAAATTATACCTTTTAATGTCAATAATAACTATATTAAGGATGGTGAGTCTCAAACCATTGCTAATCAGGAAAATAATGAGTATCTAAAAGATATTGGGTGTCAGACTATCGAATCACTGTCTTTAAATGATGAGGAAAAAGTGAACACGTTAAAACAAAAGTGTAGCTTGGCGTCATTAAAAAGCATCACCAAAAGAATAAAGTCGACTTTTTTATCAAACCATGACGATATTGACCAGGACAAATCTGAAGATGAAGATGTTTTGGATTTTCAGGATAAATCTTATGTCAACTTGGATATACTAAAGGACGACATGGATAATATAAAAGCAGTTGATGTTATTTTACCCCCACAAAAAAATTGCTGTTGCTCCTATGGTTCTCACTACGAAAAGAACAAAGAACCAAAAGTGACGATAAAAAAAGACATTGATGATGTCAGCATAAAGTCGGTATGTGAGACCATATACGAGGATGAAGTTAGCTGCTTTACGACAGTAACAATTCCGGATATATCTGGAAACATTAATAGTTTGGAGGTTGAAGATTTCGGGGATAAACCACCTTCCATAGGATGGATAAAACAATCTCCAGCGCCTACTACGGACGGTTTTATGTACGACGACTATGACACCTTTAAATGTGAAGAATACAACCAAGTTGACTTGTACGAAGACGTGAAGTTTCTTGACCCGCTGTTTTCCAGCGAGATTGCTCCAAGTCCAAAATTGAGCGAAACGTTATCAAAGATTTCCAAAATTGGTTGGACATACACTCCACCAAACAAATCTGAAATAAAAGCTAAATATCAAACATGCTTCGAAGAATCAGATAAGGAAGTAACTCAGAACATCATCGACTATCCCAGTGAGTGCAACTCAGTGAAAAGCCGAAGCAGTTATCTAAGTCTGAAAAAAATAAAGGTGGGGGTTGATTTTGTGAAAAAAATAACACGTGGTTCGCCCTCCCACGTGGATAACACCCCGTGCACAGTGAAGTACAAGAAACTACCGAAATTCAAATCAAGTACGTTTTAATCAGTTCATTTATTGCTTTTAATTTGTTATTACAATGTAACTTGATTGAAATAAAATATTATTCGACGAAATTGTTTCACTTTCCCTCTGAAAACAACATTCATAAGTTAATTTAAATAAGTTTAAATGTATGATATATCCTACGACTTAAATTATACAGGGTGTGTTCGGATCATTCGACTAAAATTGGGTAGATTTTGTCTAAAACTTTTTTTCATATTTGTAATAGATGGCGCTGTAATGAAAAAAAATCAATTTTGTTCGATTTTTCTTCTGTATACGATTCTCCAATAATTTTCGAATTTATTATTATTATTATATTTTATTTTTTAAATTTATTTTTTTTTTTTTTAAATTTTAATTAAAGTAGGTGCTCAAAATAACAATATTAAATATTTGCTCGACGAACTCTTTTTTTCGGTTGAACACTCCCGTTTGTAGTAAACTTCTTCACTGTACGGTGAAATGAAGTACGTGGTCGATTTTTTTCCGGAAAACGCTGAGCGTAGATATTAACAGCATCATCAAGATTCCTGCCTGCTTCTGCATAAATCAAAATCATTTCTATTTTTTCTTCCACTGTTAAAAAATCCATTATGAATAACTGCTTAACGAAAGGAGGTCTTTTTGTTTGCAAATTAATCTTTGAACTAAATTGATTAAATAATGCTAAACTATAAATAATTTTTTTATACCTCAATAAAATTAATTAATTTACAAAATAATATTTGTATTAAAAATAGTACAATAATCCTTTAAAGTAAAGGATTTAATGCTGGAAGGTAAAAAGTGACAATAGTGCGCAATTGATAATTATCACCGAATGAAATAATGTATAAAACTTAAACCAAAGGAAACTTAAATATTGGTTAAAAAATCGTGGGTAGGTACTAAAAAACAGATTTAATGTAATAAGATAATTATTACGAAAAAAACTGATATTTTTATTGAAAAATTATTGCAGAATCGTATAAGAAAAATCGAACAAAATTGATTTTTTTTCATTACAGCGCCATCTATTACAAAATTTAAATTTAATATGAAAAAATGTTTTAGACAAAATCTACCTATTTTTAGACGAATCATACCCTGTATAATACTTCAGACTAGAATTATAAAAAAAAATGGAAACTCAACATAGTATAACATTTAAACACCATGTATCTCTAAAACAATGTATAAGCAAAACGCAAAATTTACTAACATTTGGTCGATCCTTATCCACTGTATAATATTTATAATTATTGTAATTAACTTACATAAAACTATTAACCATGATTCATTGTAATTGGCAATTACTAATTGCTATAATTTTTTCTTCGGTGTGATTTTATAATAATTAAATTGTACAGAGGTAGACTTAGTCTACTAGACTATGTTTATTGTTTAATTATTAATAAATTTGCATTAAATTTATTAATAAGATAGTAAACATTATAAAATGACTGTCTCTTAATTCCGAAAGTAAAGGCTATTGTGCAATAAAATAAAATAAAAATCTTTATATCCACAATACTGATAATTGTAGGGAAAAAATAATCTAGAAGGTTACCTATTGAAAGCTAGTCAATGGGGGAACAATATATACTACTTTTATAATTATAAATCTTACCTTAAACAAAAGTACATACACCACTTACTAAAATGTCCGTACTATATGTGATGTTAGTATTTGTGTTCTTTTTTCTTGTGTATTTTTTGTGGTGTCGTAGAAAGTTGTATATTACTAGTGGTAAACTGCCAGGACCTTTCGCATGGCCCATCATAGGCAATGGATTTTATTTTTTAGGCAATCCAGACGGTAAGATAGATTACTTGGTTATTAATTAATTTTATATCAAACCGATTTTCAACATTAATAATAAACTAATATAAATAAATGGTTATACCTTAATATACATAGATGCTTTAAAACAGTGCAAGTATGGACCTAAAAGGTATCAAAACCGTTTATAGCATATGTGGGGAAATCCGTTTGACCAAAATAATTTTTGTTGAACAATTTGTTTATTTATGCTTTTTTAGTCTATTTTTATGTTTTTAGTCCATAAAATGGTTTAATTTGATATTTATAACTAAAAATTAAAATAAATAATTATGAAAATTATCCTATTAAAATGTATTTTTGTAGTTAAAAAAAATGAAGTTGTTGAGGCTCTACACTGAAAAAAACACTAGAGTTAATAATTAATAATTTAGTACATTAATAACAAATAAATTTGACCCAAATAAATAATTTTTTATAAAAAATAAATTAAATTTCAGAATACATACAATTATAAATATTTATTTGAGACGTTTTTATTTATAATAAATACAGCAAATTTGCTGTAAATCAATTTTTTTTAACTAACAATGATTTCTGAAATTTAATTTATTTTTTATAAAAAAAATATTTATTTGGGTTGAATTTATTTGTTATTAATGTACTAAATTTGTGTCAAATAAAATCGTTTATTAATTTATTTTAAATATACGTTATATTCGTATTTTGTTCACAGTTTCAAACGAAATACTGAAACACTAAAATAACAGTTCAAAGAACAGAATCACTAAACTAAACAGTACACAGAACATAATCTGCAAAATCACTAAACTTGGCAAGGCAAGTGGTATACCGCGTGCGTATGGTGTATACACCATACGCACGCGGTACACCACGCATACCATTCCAGAAAGTTTGTGTACAATAAACACGAAATAAATATTTATTCATTGTTAATATTAATTCTTACCTAAAAATAAATTCGAAATTTATAATAAATAAATTTTTAAGATCGCCTAAGCAAATAGGTATTTATTATTCCCAAATTTGCATTATTAATAATAAACATATGGACAACAAACAAAGTATTTGTTTCTGCTAAATAAAAAATATTACGCAGATTATTAATAGTTAAAAAGGTTGATTAACAATAAATTTACTTTATTTATTGTAAATAAATGCTATCCAAATAAAGATTTGTTAACTATAAACTACACTTTTTCTCTCAGTGTATATACCTATAGGTATTAAATCTTACTTATAAGCTCTCTTGTAAAATTATAAAGAGAATACGTCCCTTTGTGAGATTGACAAGGATATGCCATGGCATATGCATATTTATTGCAAATGCAAACATATTTTTTTTAAATACAGTTATATGCTAATTATAAATAATAAAGTATTTGTTTATAATAAATAAATATTTATTTACCACAAAAAAGTATATTAAAGTTATACTAATAAATTATTTGTTTTTAAAAAAATAAATATTTATTCCTTAATTAATCCTTTATTTATTGTTAAAAAACATCATTAATTGTAAATAAACTGTTCTTTCAGCTTCGTGAAGGTAATTTTTGTGGTCAAACTGATTCCCCCACATATCCTAAAAACGATTTTGAGAAATCTTTTTTAGGTCCAAAGCATTGCTCGTTTTTAAAAAGACACCCTGTATATTATAAATATTTTAGATTTGCTCGAAAAGATTATTAATATAACAAAAGACTACAGCTCTCCTATGAAATTATGGATGGGACCAAGGCTTGTAATTTTTATAAAAGATCCCAATCAACTACAGGTAATAAAATGTAAATTATTTATTAGTGCTTAACTATGGTTTCGCGTAAAAATCGAAAAAATATTGGATATTTGTTTGCAAGTGATGCCAGAATGAAATATATTTTTTTTTAACCTTGTTTCTACATCTAAATGGTGCATTTTTTTCAACAAAAAAATTCATCCATTGACCGCTGTGGTTTTCAGGCCTACTGTGTTAAAAATAGATAAATTTCGATATTTTGTAATAACATTTTTATTTTAAAACGTATCAATTTGAAATTAATATAAAATGTAGACCTTATTAATGGCAATAAATCCACGTATTATTTTCTTTTAGATTTTAACATACAGGGGGCCCTGGAGACAATTTAATTTAAAATTTTACCATTTTTTAAGGGTTAAAAAATCGAAGAAGCAACCTTGTTTTATAATTTTGAGTATCACGTTAAAGTACTGATAATTAACTATTATTTGATATATAAACTTCTACATGCAAATTACGTTTCTAGGGGAGATATCATTTTTAAGTTAAGCCTTCAAAGGGCATAATATTAACGTGCTTTACAAAGTATATATAAGAATATTATTCTTTTATCCAGTTTTATAAAATAATGCATTATAATAATGTATACATATTATACATTATATATTACATATAATATATATATAACATTCTTTCAAGAACCTGAATATAATAAATTGCTTGAAGAAAATTTTCTTAATATCAATATATAGTTTTATAGCCTGCTCAAAGTTTATTAAACAATTAAGGTTGAAATTACGATAGACAAATTAGGCTGGGTTTTTAATCTTAAAATATTTACAATAAATCCACGTATTATTTTCTTTTAGATTTTAACATACAGGGGGCCCTGGAGACAATTTAATTTAAAATTTTACCATTTTTTAAGGTTTAAAAAATCGAAGAAGCAACCTTGTTTTATAATTTTGAGTATCACGTTAAAGTACTGATAATTAACTATTATTTGATATATAAACTTCTACATGCAAATTACGTTTCTAGGGGAGATATCATTTTTAAGTTAAGCCTTCAAAGGGCATAATATTAACGTGCTTTACAAAGTATATATTCTTTTATCCAGTTTTATAAAATAATGCATTACATTACATTACATATTATACATTATACATTACATTACATATTATACATTATATATTACATATAATATATATAACATTCTTTCAAGAACCTGAATATAATAAATTGCTTGAAGAAAATTTTCTTAATATCAATATATAGTTTTATAGCCTGCTCAAAGTTCATTAAACAATTAAGGTTGAAATTACGATAGACACATTAGGCTGGGTTTTTAATCTTAAAATATTTACAAACAAATAGCAAGTTCTATAGAAATTATAACCTACTTTAATTTTATTTTTTGCTCCACAACCAAGCTTCAATTTATTTTTTTCTCGATAAGCAAGCTTCAATTTTAATTCCAAACTGAGGAAAGGAATATTTACCCAATAAATAAATTAGAATAAAGACTTTTTTGTCGCCTATTTAGATATATGTATATTTTTTATTCAGTTGTTTTTCGCTTTTTTGTAATTAGTTACTTTGCATTTTTTTATATTTAATATACTGCAAACAATATGGATTTGAAATTTTAATAGCGTATACAATTTGATTTAGACTATACCTACGGTAACCTACCTAAAGTAAATAGTTTTCAAGATATTAATTTTTTTCGTTAAAATTTTGCTAAACGCACGTCAATCCAAAATAGCCTCTATTTTTTTGGTTATTGGGTTTGCTGACATGGGGTTGGAATTTTTGGAATATTAAAACATTGTTTAAATAATTTAATTTTTTAAAGGTTTTTCGACAAATAGCTTAAGAAAAACCATTTGAATTTAGGCAAACTTTAAACAATTATAAAGTTTTTATTATAAATGTAAAACCCTGTATGTTTTACCATAATCAAATAGAAAATTAAAGAATCTTTCGATTGGTATTATAATAACTGTTTCCTAAAGTTTTAACAATTTCTAATATTTTCAATAATATTTTGTATCAACAAACCTGTGAAATTCTACATGTGGGTTTATGTGACGTTATCTATGGTTTCCACTTAATCTGTCATTGTTTAAAATTAACTAAAATATTTGATTGAACAATTAATAACTCGAGGAATATTGACTTTAGGTATAGCCATTTTAAAAAAAATAAAATAAAATTCTGTATGTAAAATTAAAAAATGTAAAAATATATGAGGTGTCCTGTTTAAAATAACAAACAAAAAAATTTCCGGTAAAGTATTATTTTGTTCAAAATAATATCTAAATCGAATAATTTACGCTATTAAATTTTTAAATCAATGTCCCTATAAACTTCTAACGGACTACGTTCGTGAACCACCCTGTATATTAAACGTCATTTATTTGTTATGCTTAAGGTGACCAGATTCTGTCAAAAAATAGGGGGACATTTTGTATGAATTTACCTTAATTACAAAATTGACACAATGATACAATGCAAATTGTAAATTTGACGTTACTTAATTATTGTTGATTGTGTCATTTTTGTAATTAAGGTAAATTCATACAAAATGTCCCCCTATTTTTTGACAGAATCTGGTCACTTATGCTATACTTAATTATTAATAAAAAATATTTGTATAAAAACGACAAAATGAACTAAACTTAACATTTATGAATACTGCTACTGGTAATTCCAAACGGATCCTGGCCACAGAAACATCATTTGCATAAAAAAGTTAATATATCAAATAATAGTCAAATATCAATACTTCAACGTGTTTAACTCAAATTTATAAAAAAAAATTGTTAAATTTTAAATTAAATTATCACCAGCGTACGTAAAAATCTAAACAAAATAGTAAGATCTACATTTTTCCAAATTTCTAATCGATACGTTTTGAAATAAAAAAATTATTAAAAAAATAAAATTTCTTCATTTTTAACACAGTGAAGAAAAAAAACAAAGTTGTCAATGGACAAGATTTTTTTTTAAATTACTGAATTTAGATGTAGAAATAAGGTAAAAAAGTTTCAAACGACCGTTCGATCCTTTCGCGAAACCGTAGTTAAAATGTGTATTTTGTTAATTAAAGTATATATCTAATATGGAATTCAAAAGAGCGTAAACATTGTACATCTGGCAACATTGCTTCAAAAGTTGTGTGCAAAGATTTTTAAATATAACCAACATTAAAATCAGATGAGAGCTTCTTGAGGAAATCAACTTTAAAACTGTTATGTTATGTATATTTCTTAATAATTACTGATTTTTTTTAAGATTTTAATGCAATCATCAAAAATGTCCAAAAAATCCTATGTATACAGATTTTTGGAACCTTTTATGGGAAAAGGATTGTTTACATCTGCTGGTATGTAGAAATGTAGGACATTATTGACCTCTTGATACTAACCAAAATTGACTTTTGTAGGTCTTCAACATAAAACTCAAAGGAAACTTCTCCAGCCACTATTCGGTCCGACTTACATCGAGAGCTATAGTTATCTATTTCAAAAGCATGCCGATAAACTTGCAAAGACTTTGGAATCAAAAGTTGATGGCAAGGACTTCGATATTTTACATTATCTACATGATGCTGCTTTTGAAGCCACTATGGGTACCTGATACAAATTTTGATAGTTTAATTTTGATAATGGATTTTTTTTTAGATATTATGCTGGAAGATAAAAATGAACATACGTTTGATTACAAAGATATGCCCGCGTATGTCAGAAGGTAAGGTATGTTTTGCGTATTTTTTATAGTGGGACATATTTATTTTGTAGATTCTATCACATATTTATTCAACGAATTTTTAAGTTTTGGTATCATTTGGATTTTGTGTTTAAATTTAGCAGCTATTACAAGGAACAAGAGCATATGATAAAAATTGCTTTAACAATTACAAAAGAAGTAAGTATATATTTTTATCCATAAATATTTATTTAATCAGCAAAAACTTTTAGATTACAGATTCCAGAGTTCCGGAAATATTGGAAAGGATGAATGATTTCAACATTCCCGTTGAATTGAGAGCTCCCTCAATGTTGGAAAGTATGATGGAAATGGTGAATGAAAATCCCAATTGTTTAAATGAAGAACAGTTTCGCGACCACATGATGACATTTGTTGCGACAGTACGTACATAGATATATGATAATTTATTACCCTAAAAATGTTTACTTTTTGAAGAGTCAGGATACTCAAAGCTCAGCTATTGCATTTACTTTGATGATGTTAGGAATGCACCCCGAAATACAGGTTCGTTTTTTGTGTTTGCGTCTTCATAAAATTCGTAGTAGTAATATTATTGTAGGGCGAAGTTATGTCTGAACTCAATGAAGCCCTAGCTGGTAAAGAAAAATTGGAATACTCAGATTTATCAAAGCTAAAATGTATGGAAATGTGCATCAAGGAATCCATGCGTCTTTTTCCATTGGGACCATTTTTAATAAGGGATACCATCGAGGAATTTCATTTAGGTTAAATTGAACACTAAGAGGCCTATTCCCTTTCGCTAAACATGCATGTTCATGAACTGCATATGTTTCGTAAGATATAAGCCTATTCCCTTTCAATTATTTCGTCTATAGACGCATGCGCTCGAAGAATTTCTTAAACATCCATGTGTATAAACATCATCGGTGTTAAAATGGCTATTCCGTTTCCAAAATTCGATGTTTGGTGAACATACATGATGTTTGAAAACGTATGTTTACGAACGCTTGCCTAAGAGGTGCTGTTAGCCAATATTTGAGGTTTTTTATCTTGCACTAATCATAAATTGCGGCGATGTTTGGTACAGTATACAGTTCAGTATCATTATCAAGCATAGTAATTATGGATTAATTACTTTTTCATAATTAATACCTAATTAATTATAATTATAAATGATAAATAATTATTTATAAATGAGAATAGGACAAATCATATAAGGTTTCACACCAAACAAACAAAAATAATTTTTTTTTCAATTTTACAAATATGTTTATGATTTGTTTTTTAATGTTTTACCTATGTAATATTATTACTCAAAAATATAGAAAAATATTAGTCAAAGAAAAGTATAACTAATAAAATACAAAAAAATATGCATGCATCTAAAAACTCTTTTTCTTCACATGGGAGCTAAAACTTTTTGGTTTAGTTTTAAAATCTTTTAGGTTTTATCAATACCTTGTAAAACCTCTACACCTTCACTACTCGTCAGAGTTTGAGTTGGACTCTGTTGTAGAAGGGGCCCTTCCATCCGACCTTAAAGGCTGGTCAATGAAGAGTTACAACGATGGTATTACCTCCACCTTACCCTCCACCACTAACTTTCCCAGCGCTTCCTCTATTAGGGCTAGTAATTTATCCTTAAAGTCATTAAGTTGTTTTACTGGCTCCCCGACATTGCCAGTCTCCATGAGAGAAATGCGTAGTTTTCTTGCCATTTTTAATACACTAAAAGTGTGTAAAAATAAGTAACAAATAATTATTTTAAGATATTTTATGATTACCCTTTTCCATATAAAAAAAAGTGCTCTTTTAGTTCCACCCTTACTTCTTAAGAAGTCCCATAAGCCAACTGAATGGCTTGTGCGGGTTAGGGGTAGGAACGGACCGCGGGCTTAAAGTCCCCTCCGAAGGACTAATACACAATAGGACAAACACAAATAAACAGCCATACCCCTGGTGGGATTCGAACCCACGACCTAAGGATGGACTATATTAAATATCACCAATGATTTTTAAAATAATTATCTAACACAATTTTAGTTTACGATCTGCGACTTTTAGGTTATAAAACTAAGATTCTCTCTGTCCTAGAAACATTTATCGCTGTTCAAAAAGATTCAAGGTCAAGACTCTCAACATATGAGAATCGGAATAGCCTTAAACATAGGTGATGTTTGGGTTGTCGTTGGGTGAACATTAGGGTGTGCCAAAAAAACTCGTTTTTTTTTTCTTGCTCTCCACCCAAAATATCGTAGAATATGTCCGAACAAATATCCTGTTAAAAGCGGAGCTCATAATTTCAATTTTAAGAGGTCCTCCATCGAATCTGAAGTTTTTTCCGCTTAAATAGCACAGAAAACTGACTTTTTTACCTTATTTATTCTTGCAACCTAGGAAGAAATTTTTTTTTTTCATAAAATCCATGACCAAATCTTACAAAGTATTAAATTTGGACGAAAAAATCTTATTAAGCCGAATTTCTATTTTCATTATTTGATGTTTTACAGAGCTTTAAATTTAAAATTTTACGCTAAACTATTGAAGTTAGACGAAAAAGTCAAATGGCAATTTTTTAGCTTGTCTGATGGACCACAAAAAAGTTTTACGCGAATTTTTTGTATCGTCAATATTCTAAAAGTTACAGGCGTATAAAGTCATCATTTTTGTATTATTAACTTTAAATTTAAAGCTCTGTAAAAAATCAAATAATGAAAATAGAAATTCGGCTTAATAAGATTTTTTTGTCCAAATTTAATGCTTTGTAAGAATAAGTCATGGATTTTATGAAAAAAAAATTCTTCCTAGGTTGCAAGAATAATTAAGGTAAAAAAGTCAGTTTTCTGTGTTATTTAAGCGGCAAAACTTCAGATTCGATGAAGGACCTCTTAAAATTGAAATTATGAGCTCCGCTTTTAACAGAATATTTGTTCGGACATATTCTACGATATTTTGGGTGGAGAGCAAGAAAAAAAAATATCGAGTTTTTTTGGCACACCCTAGTGAACATACATGTTAAGAAATCGATGTTTACGAACAGCAAGAAAGGGAATAGGGCTCTAAGTCTTGTAATAATAAAAAAAGGTAAACAATTTTTTTAGATAAATGGGTGTTGCCCAAAGGGTGTACGGTTGTTTTGGGTGTTTACAACGTTCACAAGGATCCTAAATATTGGGATAGGCCTGAAGAATTTTATCCTAAACATTTTCTTCCCGAGGCGACAGCCAAACGACATTCGTATGCGTATTTGCCATTTAGTGCTGGACCGCGACGATGTGTCGGTAATGGTTCTTATATATTTTTTATGGAGAAAACATTTAATTTGTTTGTATTTTTAGCCCAACAATATTCCTATGTTAACATGAAAATAATTGTATCAACAATTCTTCAAAAATTTAAAATTTCTTGCGATGGTTCCTTATCTGATCTTTCAATAATGACAGATGTTTCAATTAGACCAAAAAATGGTTATTTAATAAAAATATGTCATAGACGTTAATAAGTAGTATTATTATACGTGTTTTTGCAATGCGGTTGATAGCATCTGTTAACCATACTTTTACCCAATTTAAATCCCGATTGGTTCAAATAACAGTGAATATTGAAATCAGCCAATCACTGATGCCTAACAACGTAAATAATAAGTTCATTATTCCCGTTGTTAGGCAGGGCGGTTATATTGCTTATTATTATTTACGAAACAAGCCAAATAATGTCAATAATATGCAATATGAATAAAAAAAATATATTTTTGCGTACCATACAGTGTATGGCATACACGTGAAAAAAGTACTTTGAGTTCATATATTAAAAAATATTTTTTGTGTGTAGTCTTAAAAAAACTAGGGAAAAATTTATAAAACCCAATTAATCTGTTGAATAAAATATAATGGATTATTAAAAATACGTCAATAAAATAAAGTTATAGCTCTATTATTATTTTATGACTAAATTCTTTTAATTGTCCAATTGTCTTACTTGCAACATTATTATTTTAAATACTTAAATACAAGTTTGCTACTTTTAAATATAGTAAAACTTAAAGACACGTAAGGGTGTCCTTGCATGGAATTTCGTTGATGCGGAATAGATCGACTCAAGTTAGATTATTATTAATAGAGTTTACCTAGCAACCAATTTTAGATCTATAATTTCAAAAGTTAAAAATTTACCTACAGTGTAATTTATTATATAATATTTTGGCATCAAAATTGTCAACATTTATTGGGCTATACATTAAATAATAAACGCAAGTAATATTTTATAAAAGTGGAGTAGAAAATTTTAATAAATTAAAGGTGTGCACATGGACGGGACAAAAAAAAGATTTATCTTGTCCCGTCCGGACGCGTCCATACCTGTCAATTATTAAAATTATCTACTTTTATAAAATATTTCTTGCGTTTTTTTTTTTTAATTTAATGTATAGCCTAATAAAAGAAGAATATTTTTGACAATTTTGATGCCAAAATATTATATAATAAATTACCTACAATTTTTTTTATAAAAACAGTTTTGTGGTTTGTCCCGTCCGCATGCCTGAAATTGCCCTTCTGTTAATAGAGGTATTCACAGAGGTAAGAATATTTCACAGCGTTAAGTTTTTGGGGTAGAAAATCTTAAAATGCTCGTTGCAGGAATATGGCTTTTACCAAAAATTAAGTTAGATCATGAAGAACAAAAAAAACTACAAAGCAAGACAATGATAAAACTTGAAAAGATGACCCCATAAAATACGAAGATGAAAAACAAAAAGCCCGAGATAGTTACTATAAAAGAATAGAAGAAGGATAGATAAAGATAATTAAAGAAATTACAGAAAGGAAGGGGAGACAGCAAAGGAAGCCTTGGAAAAAATGAAGCAAAACGTATTACGAAATATCATAGAAATTCGACTAGAGTATAATGCTCTGATAGTACAAGAATTATCAAATGTAAATACCGGTCCTTCGAATAAAGATGATGGCAGAGCTTAAAGAGGAAAATTACGTAGAAAAGAGAATCTCTAGACCCAAAAGGCTTAATAATGATAAAAAAAATTGAATGCGAAACTGAAAAAAAATTGATAAATAGAATTAAGAGATTAAAGCAGACTCCAAATAAAAGCTCACCAGGAAAAAATGTTGAAAAGCTTATTAAAGAAGAAAAAATATAATTTCACCAAAGGCTAACAAGAATTTAATTTTTTGTGAGTATAGTAACGGAGAAGCGAAAATTTTGGAAATATATTTCTGGGGAAGTTACAAAAAAATACAAAACCCAATGGCATCTTAAAAAAAAAACTTCTTCCTCTGTCAAAAGGCAAAAAAGGATAGAAGCGTACTCAGGCATGAAGAAAAAAGCCGTAGCATTTCTGGAAAAGGAAGAATCAAGCAAACTTAGTCCTGGAAAAAAGGACTGATTTATTGAAAAATCTACATGAAAAATTTATAAAATTAGAAAACCTTACAGTAAGTTACGCAACATTTTCTAAAAAGCGTCTATTTTGGGTGGTACAACAAAGTGTAGAAAAACTAGACACCTGCCCCTGTATGCAACATACAAATATTTTTTTACTAACACAAGAGTTAAAACTTACTGGAGTTTACATCAAATAGGGGGGAAGATTTATATAAAACTCTCTGTTGTTAAGGCTAAATGTTTAAAGAAATTTGCCTGAAAAGGAACTGACAATTTCTAGTTCCTGCCTCTGAATTTAATTAAAAAGATAGTATTGTTTATGAAAGAGGTGTACAAAAAAATGTAAAGTGGTTATTGAAGGCATAGAAAAAGACTGTGTAAAAACAATCAAAGAAAAGAAATTAAGTACCAAAGGTAAAATTTTAGAATCATTAAAACCATTTTTTACACCTTAGAAACATAAACCATCAATTTAACGCAATTCAACAAATCAAAGAAGGCCTTAACACAGACGTCATGTCTTATGGACTTCTCTGAAAATTATAATTGTAAATATACATTGATAATGGTATTCTCTTTAAAAATCTTGCTTTCATCAAAAGAATATTTTTAAAATTCAAAGTATTACAGCATGATCAATTTTTGCCCGATTTAAATAAAATTTATAGTGTTAAAATTTCAATGCAATCAAAAATTGAATGCGAGTAGTGTCGCCGTGCTAAGCTAAACCCCCGTATCTGCAATATTAAATAAAAGATCATTTTCATTGTTAAAAGCAATAAAAACTATCTTTTGTCCTTTATTATTTAATATTGCAGATATGGGGGTTTAGCTTAGCACGACAAAGTGTATGATAGTAGAGTATTGAGAGCAGCAGCAGATACTCTACTCATACTCCCATACACTAAAACTAATAGAAAAAAAAAAACAATAATATTTTTGACATCTTATTCGACATACTTAAAATCAGGTCTAAAATCCTAGGCACAAAAATTGTCCACTTAAATAGGCTCTGTGAATATTAATAGCTATTCACGGAGTTTATTTAAGTGGTACATGTAGTACCCAATTTTGGTTCATTTTATTGCCATGTTGCCAATTTTTATTTGATTGCATTGAAATTTTATCACAATAAAGTAGATAAATAAAGCTACAAATAGGGTAAATTTTATTTAAATTGGGCAAAAATTGATCATGCTGTATCACTTTGAATTTTAAAAATTTACGAATTTTGGCTAAAAAATCGATTTTCTTTCGATGAAAGCAAGATTTTTAAAGAGAATACCATTATCAATGTATATGGTATTTTTTTACAGTTTAATAAAGACCCATAGCAACATTACCAACTATCCTTGCTTAAATTAGAAGTTTAAAAAAATATATTGAAGCATTTGAATGTGCGCATATAAAGAAAATGGTTTTTTGTCTACATCGCAAAAACAAGAGCTGATTGAGCAAAATGATGGTCATTTTTAGATTCGGCGTACTCAAATTACCCTAAAAAAGTTGTTGTCTACCCTGCACCAAAATGGCTGTAATATCTTATTACTGTCGCAAATAAAACTTTTTTGCAAATGTCTTTTTTGCTGCATTTTTTGTGGATCCAGCTGAAACAATGAAATCATTTAATATTAATAAATTTTCATTGGTTCGGCTCTCCTAGCTTTTCATATAAAAAACAAAACTTGGATTTTTGGGAAAGAGATGGTTCGGGTCGCAAAAAAAACGATTTTACATATTCGTGTTGCAAGTTCAGATTTGTAAATTAAGTTTTTTAATTAAAATAAAGTAGTGTTCATTTTGTTAGGTTTTTGTTTAGTAATGAGGACCCCAGGGGCGGCTTTTGGATTTTGGGCACACCCATATCTCAGTTATTAGACATCAAATTTATATGAGTTTATAATGACATTATATAGATAAGTTCTGTGCAAGCAGAATTTAAATTGAAGTTTGCGAAAAAAAAGTTAGTTTTTAAGTGTGCCCCCCAGCCTCCTGCCCCCCCAAATTTAGATAATTCAAATTAAAGTGGTACAATATTTAATTCACTGAAGTTTATCGACAAATTTCAAATTTTATTAAAAAAATTTAAGTATTACAGATTTTATACCATTTCTATTTTTTTTTTAAATTAAGTAAAAGAAATAATAAAAATTTAAAATGGTATAAAACCTGTAATTCTTGAATTTTTTTTATTAAAATTTAAAATTTGTCGATAAACTTTACTGAATTAAATATTGTACCACTTAAATTTGAATTATTTAAATTTGGGGGGGCAGGAGGCTGGGGGGGCTTCTACAACAATTGTAGACATCTGTGAAAGATACAATCAACTAATCGTGTCATATCAATATTTGGTTTTAGGCAACCAAGATTCAAATTGTTTGATACAAAGGAGAGTTTTTCAATTCAAAAAAGCGGTTTTTTTATGTAGTAGAACGGGAGATTGTTTCCAAAAAACTGGCAACATTGACTGTAAGGCATGGGGCGGTTTTTCGATAGCATTTCGATGCGCATGAAGTAAATTTTCTATTAGCAGCAGTGTTGCCAACCCTTTTGCAGCAAATTTCCCTTATAAATGTTCAAAAATTCCCTTTTTTCCCACGCTTTTTTAAATATGCCGTTACCCGTTTTTTAAAACATAAGAGATATTTTGAAAAAAAGACAGCATTTTAGAAATTTAGTAATGTTACTGTTCAGAATTTATTAGTAAACCTATAAAAAACAACGTGTATAAATACATAAATACACTCTCTATAAATTAAATAGTCAAAATACTACTATTTGAATTAGTACCAGCATTTTTTACTAATAAAATAGTCGTTTTCACTTTAAATAGTTATTTTTTACTACGTAAATAGTTAAAGTTTGACTAATTTAAGATTAGTCACCATATTTGACTATTTCTGACAGTTAAAAGTAACTTATTTCTTTAATAGTTTACGGCCAACAACAAAGTATTATTTGAATTAAATGCATATACCTCTCCATGGTTAAATGACCCATAAAACAAATAAAGATGCAAAAAGTTTAGCTCAAAACAGTAACACAAATAATATATTAAACTTTAAAATATTATGAACAATATTTATTGACAAATAA